TTTCATGGACTGGCGTTGTGTGGATTACTTGTGTATTATTGTGATGTTTTTATCAGCTGTTTGGACTCTCATTCTGACGGCACCCATTCACTGCAGAGGATCCATTGGTGAGCAAGAGATGTAAAGCTAAATTTCTCCAAATCTGTTCTGATAAATCTCATCTTGGATGGCCTGAGGGTGAGTAAACTTTCAGCAAACTTTCATTTTTTAGTGAACTTTAAGGAAACCTTCATAATTACAATGCAATGTATAGCCAAATTCTTTCAACTGATGAATATAAAATTGTTAAATGTGCTCATTTATGGTAACTTATTTTTAGACAAAGAAAAATAACCTCACCCAGGCCAGGAGACTTCAAATCAATGATTAATGATTCATATGTGAAAGTGAAATCAAGGTTACGTTAGACTCTGCAGCTTATTAACATTCATGCTGTATCCAGACTTGCATAACTCATTTTCAGATGTCTAAAATGACTTATTCAGAGGACAGAACACCTGGAAAGCGCGACACTTCTGTACTGGACTTCATTCATATTATATGATTTAACATTGATGATAAACCATGGGTCACTTACGATGCAGAACCAAACAGGTGCTCTTTGAAAATGAGTTTCATATGATTTGCTGTCTGGCCAATTCACCAGCAATTAGTTGCTCGGCTGTTATTCTAATATTAGAGTAAAATGAAATGGTTTTGCACAGGATGGAGCGGGGCGGATATCATTTGCACATAGTCAGGCCAAACACAAAATGTGGTACAAGTTTCTATCGAGGTCAGACACACTTAGTCTTGCTCAGACCGTGGAAAACCTGCCTAGGCAATGATCCTCAAAAGCTTCTATTTATCTGTGGGGAATTACTAATAGTGGGACAGATGGGACTGCTGTGAGGGGAGGGTGAAGAGTTGAAACAGTTAAACGTGACCGATCCCTCCACACCAGTGCTGCTGTCCGGCACACGAGAGGATCCATATGGAGACAGGAGAGTATTAGTGTAACGTTCATCTATACAGAGGGGGAAGGGAGTCAGGCGACAGCTTTACTTCTCAAATCTTCTTAACTAGTAATGAAACGGGGTGATTTTGATCACCATGCTTTGCGTTTCATGTGGGATGAGGATCTTGCTGAAGTTAATAGTAATGCACTTTTCTAATGCAATCCCTCCAGTAGTTATTGTGCCAAAATGGCTTATGGTTGTTGCTAGAGGCTTTAAAAGATTAAAACATCCAGATTTCCTGTTAAAGGGAATGTGGTGTCGAAAAGTGTGCTGCAGGAAAGATTTTCTGTTGGGAAAAATTGTCACAAATTATTTTACTTTAGTGAATTGGCTACAAAAAAATAATTGAACATTCTCAGCATTATTTCCCAGTAATAGTTTTAAAGTAAGATAGTTTATAAGTAAAAAAAAAAGTCTAATTGAACTTTTGACTTCAACCTTTATAGTTACTAAGATTTAGAATCTCCTTACTTTTTTAATAAGCAAAAAGTACCATAACTCTTTGATAAAGCTATTTTGTATATAGCAGGTTTGGATACATAGTTTTAATACAGCCGGGGCTAGTTTTAAAACTACATTTTTTTAAGTCAGTTTCTGTGTGGACAAAAACCTTAAAGTCTTGACTACAAAAATGACATTATTCCCGAGGTTAAAAGATACAGGTTATTCAACATACATTGAGATTTTCTGACAACATGCCCCAATAGTTTTAGTTGAGTTTTGAACTAGGTGTTTGAAAACAACATACAAAACCATTTCAAGATAAAAACACATTTGACTTTGACTTCAACCTTTATAGTTAGTTACTGAGATTTATATTTTCCCAGTGAAACAAGCCCCAGTTTTCCTATTTGCTTATGGAATCAACCAAATATATCCAGCAGTTTAGATCCTTGCTATTTCTTTGACCAAATAACTGTTGTGAAGTGAAAAGTTTGAGAGCTCATGACTATTTTGTACGCAGCATTTTTAGATACATCTGCAAACTCCATGAAACTCAATCCTACAATTAGTCAATAGACATTGCGGTGAATAAAATCAAAATATGAGCGTGCGCCGTGCAGTGGTCTGTTGAAAGTCTTTACCCTACAATAATGGAGTATTACCACCGTCTAGCCCTCCCTTCTAGTCTAGTCAGCTAGAGGCTTGCTTGACGCAGATGGCAACAACCAGGGTAGACCTACAACAGCTGGTATAGGTCTAAGCTCGTAACAAAATGGATCAACAGGCACAGCTATACGACAAGCCACCTAGACTACGGATGGACGCTTTATGGATATTTTAGTCTGTGGGGCTTCGGGAAATGACTGGTCTTATTAAACGCAAATCACAGAAGGTTAAGCAGCTGCAAAGCTTCTGAGGTATTTAAAAATTCCCCCCCTGACTGTGCATAAGACTTCCTGGTACGGATTAGAGGCTGCAGCTTCATGTGGTGTTGTGGCTACATACCTTCAGTCAGTCAAAACCCAATCTGCTGCTTAGTTTTCCTTCTCCCCAGGCCGAGAATCTCTAAATGGATGAAGAGGGGGAAGAAAGAGATCAATATGAAGATGAAGCGTGCAAAACTTTGTTGGAGATGAATCGTGGAAAATAGGAGCGAGAATGATGGAGGAAACGGGATGGATCTGTCGTTTAGATGAAAGGAGAGATGAAAGGCAGAGAAAATCAACCTATGACATACAATCTTTAAGAAATATCACCCTCAGCTCTTATTGGGCCATCACACTCCCTAGAGCAATGATTTCAGAGAAGGTGTATGTGTGTGTGTGTGTGTGTGTGTGTGTGTGTGTGTGTGTGTGTGAGAGAGAGAGAAAGGCAACGTAGTCTTGGATTTCTGTCACCAGAAACTTAAGCCAAAAGTGAAATCTATGCTTTTAAAACTTTACATTTTACGTTACATTCCATGAGAGGAAGACATTGGCCTCCTTTGGCTCATCGGCTCTCAAAGGGTCTGTCTAAGCTGAAACACACCTAACCACTCGACTTTCTGGTTTATAACCAATATGGCACCAATTAAAGGCATATGTGGATTGTCATATAAGAAGTTTTCTAAAGAAGCATATACAGACATGCGTATCTGCATAGTATCAAAACTTATTTGGCCTGTTTGGTTCATTTGAATTCTAACCAATATAAAACTGAAAGGAAAATAGGGTGCACATGTCGTATATGTTAAATAAAAATTAACAATTTTTACTGTTTAAACTACTTTTATAATAAAAGTATTTTTCATTTAAAAAGTTTAAATGTTTAACCAATTAGAAATTAGGTGACATCACTATCATACATGTCCACAATCTTCCTGACATGACAGTAGCAAGTCTCTCACTCTGCATGAAATTACTCTATATTTCTCTATAGTGCACTATTTGCCATTCACTAAATGTGAAATAGTATATAAGAGTGACCAATTTCAGACTTCTCTGTTCAAATATTTAGGGCAACAAAACTGTATTTTGGCACCCCTAGTGCAGTTAGCTCTCTCAAAAAAAAAGGCAATTTAAATCAAACAATTTACATTTTTTTGTGATATAGTTGTGATATATAAATCTATAAAACATTATTAATAATGGCAGTACTCAAGTTTTGTTGATGTAAAATCCAGCATACAGTGTTCGTGCAGATTTCTGTTTACAAGCGTATAAATTTGGCACGAAGACTCCTCTTTTGTGCTTATTCAAATGCATTGGGAAAAGCTGTTGACATATGTATATAGGCTTTTTGTATGTAAATAGAATTAATACTTTTTAAGATCTCTAAATCTTTGTCTGTGACCTTTAAGGGACATTGTTTTCTACAATTGCACATTATCTCTTTATATGCTTGATCAAAATTTTTATAAAAGTGCCATACACCAATGCATGTGTACAGCCCACTATATCTTTTTTCATATGTGACCTGGATTCCTTTTATAGCCAAATATTTAGCTAAATGGAGGCATTTGAAATAGCTCAAGTCTAATCCACCTTGCAAGAGGACCAGCACTCACATGTTTGAATAAACTGCTGCCCCCTACTGATAGAAAACAGTAATACAACATTTGCTCTGAGTATAATCTGTAAATTATATAAAGACTAGAATTTTCAGAGAATGATTTATTAGAATTATTACCAGCAGGCAAAAGCCACCATTCTCTCCAGCAGGATTCAGACTACACTCTAAAGCCATTCCAGGGAAGCACAGCTTTACGCTGGAGTGAAATCAAGCACGAGTCAAACTCGTAAAAAATATTCTCTACAAACTTCAGTATGAATTTGCATAAGGTGACATAATGGTGGGGTTAGTGCATCACACACACATACACTTTCAATCGCATAAATATTGAGTAAAGCAGTGCACTTCCAATCTATTGCATTGTATATTTTCATTCTTAAGAAGCTTCACTTAAATAATTTAGCTTTAAATATTTTCCAATTGTCCAACAGTATATGGGAATTCAAAACAACAATTTGTGTAAGCTATAAGGTGAGTGTGCCCTAATAAAATATTCAGAAAAAGTCCTTTTATATACCGACTGCAGTCTAGAAGCCACATATTTCAACAAATCAACATTCTTCTTAATCATCTAAGGCAGAAACAGAAGCATTTGGTCGGGTATTAGACGTATGTTGAGTAAATATCTTTGTAAATGCTCCAGTTGACAGCTGAAAGAGTTGGACAGATCTGTCCTGAAAGCACATGGCTAGAGGTTAAAGAGCAGATGTTTATGACAGTATTGTGGGTTATAAAATGAGGCCTTGTGTAACAGTCTGGAATTTCTGCTCTGTTTGGAGATTAATAAGCAAAAGATACTTTAATACAAGGTATATTATATCACTACAGTGTACGCAGTGTGGGTGGAATCTACTATTAAAAAAAACTTTGAGGCACATTTCCTACACTGGAGCAGAGAGGTCACCGATTATAAGCTGGGAAATATATATTTGTGCATATATATATATATATATATATATATATATATATTTGATATCATATTGTGTGTGTGTGTGTGTGTGTGTTTATATCTAGGTGAATATGCATTTTAAATAGTTTTCTTGGGTATATAGGTGGCATCAGCAAATTAATAATTCATCAGTAATTCAGCAAGCAGTGCAGCAATAAAGGCCTCTCAAAACCAAAAGAAAAATAAGAAGAGTTTTATCTTGGGTGCAATTAAAAACATCCATCTCTAAAATCGAATTATAAAAATGATAATCAATCAGAGTTCAGTTCAGTTTCGTTACACGTGATTGAATAGTGACTCGTCTCACAGGGGTTTGATTTGCATTACGATTAGCAACCAGCTCCTGTAGCTGTAGAGCTCCGCCTCCAATGAAACAGAAAGCAGGGCACACGGGGGCAGAGCAGTCCACAGGCCCCTCCCATAGTGGGCGGAGTGAGTGGGCATCGTAAAACGTGACACGCCCCTTCTCAAAGTCCAGACACACTCCTAGTCTCGGAGGCAGCGGATAGGTAACGCCAGCTGGTGATGAAGGCCCATTACTATTAGTGAAACCAGACTCTCTGTAATTGGCATTGGCATGATGGGAGTTGGCAGAGGAGGGCAGGTAGATCTTGCCCATGCCCATTGTGAGGAAAGAGAAAGGGGGAGGAGAATCTGACGAATCCTCAGCTCCACTGTCATGGCCGCTGTCTGGATCATATCTATCAGACAGAGAAGATAGATTTAAATCGTGAAAAATGGAAATCAAGAACCATCCATTTTTTTTTCATTGAATATGCTGTTTGCCCTTGAAGTGGAGTTGGAAATATCGCAATTATGAGTTCCGAGCAAATTAATAGCCAAGCAAAGTGGTATTTACAAGTGGCAAACTCAGAATTCTAGTCAAGTCACATTTATTTATATTGCATTTTATACAATAGAGATCGTTTCAAGGCAGCTTCACAGTAACAAACTGGAAAATAATGATGCAAATAAATTCAAATTTTGCTGTAAAGCAGCTCTAAATAAAACAATAGTGTCATTATTCAGCTCAAGTCAGTTCTGTGTTGATTCAGTTTGGTTCAGTAACTTTGTAAAGTTCCTAAATTATGTGAAACACGTTCAACTCCGTTATAAGAAGTGTCGATTTTGGTGTTGCAAAATTCCTCAATTATGAATCGAATTCGATTGAGCTGTAAAGCAGCTCTACAAGACAATAATGTCATCATCCAGCTCAGTTCAGTTCAAGCTTTGTTCTCATCCGATAGTGTCAGTGCAGTCAAATCAATAATATTACTGAGTGTCTTGTAAATCCCAACTAAGCAAGCCAAAGGCTACAGTGGCAAGGAGCCCAAACTCTATCAGGCTAATAATGATATTTTTCATCATTTTGAATTTGAATGTAGTTATTTGGGTTTATTGTTAACAATATTATTTTTTTGTTTTGTTCAGACTAGTGCCATGTAATGGTTCTGACTTGAATATGTGACATGTAATAGCGACCGCCCAACTCTGAGGTACAAGTTTTCCACAATCTTGAAAATAAAGGTTCTTTATTGGAATTGATGGTTCCATGAAGAACCTTTAACATCCATGGAACCTTTCCATTACACAAAAGGTTCTTTATAGTGGAAAAAGTTATCTTAACAATAACATTAGCATATCTACTTACTATTCTCATTTTTGCGGTTCATTTCTGTCCTTTCCGTTCATTTGAGATTTTGTTCTTACCTTGGACTAGCCATATCTTGAGGCAGATGAAACCACTCCTGAAGTTTGGACTCCAGGCCCACTCCAACCTGTAGAACAGAGCCAAATACAAAAAAAATCAGATAAAAAGTGATATAGAAGGATTCACAGGAAATATAATATAATTTTCTTATTTACAGAACTTGCCTTGACCAGATATGAGCCGGGCTCCACTGAGCATGCCCAATAGTGTCGACCCTGCGTTATGGCCACGTCACCCACAAGCAGATCCGCTGTCAGGTGACAGGAAGTAAGGGCCCGATCGGCGGCCTGCAGCAGGGAGAGACCAGGCACACTACGAGCACACCGCTGCTCCTTACTCACCACCAGTCTGTCCGCGTGCAGACCCCAACGAGAGTCCAGGTAAAAATTCAACACTGTCGAGGAGGTGGGAGGAAGACAACAGCGAGGGAATACGGGAGAAATTTAGAAGGGGATAGAAGAAGAGGGGAAAGAGGGACACCAAAGTATTAAGGCACCAAAAGGAGGGACGTAAGAGTGGGTGGAAAGGGAGAATAGAAGTATGTAGAATATGCAAAAGGAGGACAAGGCATAAAAACCACAATCAGGAAAACAGTAAACAAGGAAAGAAGACAAAGAAATGCACTCTGGGAATAGCGGGGTAAAATCAAGACTGCAAAAAGCAGGAAGATTTGCATTCCAGCAGACAGGCAGAGAAGAAAAGGTGTATTTCCTCATCAGTATTTCAGTTAAGGCCTATTCACATCAAAAATTAATTTACTTAATCTTAAAAATCAGATTCATGTCTTTGTATCCCTTGTTTTCATTCATAGCAGAAGCTAATGTTAGCATTTTGTCATGAACACCTGCCTTCTGGTTGGATTTTGCAAATCTTGGATTATTATTTGTAACCCGGGCCTCCATTTAATGTTATTAATAAACATTATGGAGCATTTGCTTGTGGCCACATTTACAAAGCGAATGGGTCAACGTTCACATCAGATCAAAATATTTCACTACATTGAGGGTTTTGGGTGGAAAATAAACATACTGGTGGTTTAAAGAATAAATGGCTCAAATAATCAAACGATGAGGGAAATATAAACAAAAAAAAAGATAATAAAGAGTTTTAAGGGCTATAAAAAGGGAACAGGAAAGGTTGCCATATAGCGCTGTTGTCACAAAAGCTGGAAAACGTGGAAAAACCAAAGGTTGTAGAGAAGGAGATTGGAATGGATAAAAAAAGATAAAGAGAATAGAAGATAGATGAGTATCATTTGGGGATGAATTATGTTTGTGTTGAAAAATCTTCAGAAGGTGTTTCTTACCTGGAGCTGGTGGTGTGTGTAAATATACTTCCTCACTGTATTCACCGAAGCCAGCCTTGTTGCAGCCTCTCACCCTCAACACATACACACTGTCCATCTCCAGCCTGTCAATCACCGCACAGGTCCCGGTCACCTCCTCCAATCTCTGCCAGCCCCAACGAGCAGCAGCCAATCCCCCGCGAATACCCCCTCTTGCCCCGCCCCCTGGCACCACCCCCCGCCGCCGGAATTCCACAGAGTAATGCCAGGCAGGAGTGGAGTCTTGAGGCAACCGCCAACACAAGAAGAGCTGGTCATAGGCAAGGGTTCGCTGGGTGTCAATCACAGGAGCAAGAGGGGCTGATGGGATAGGTCATTTTGGTTGGGGTTAGATTACATGACATTCCAAATTAGATTACTTTTTGCAAGTAAAGTAAGATCCAGTTTGCACCATAATATCTTATTTTTCAGATACGTTACTTTTCAATGTGTTTAATTATTGACATAACTTTCTGTGAGCTTTCCATGAAATTCTGTGCATTATTGTACACTAGTGTATCTCTCATAACACAATATTATTATATCAGCAGAGATTCTGCAGAGATTTTAAAATCATATTTAAGACATTTAGGGTGTTTTCACACCAGAAAATTCCGCTAGTTCACTTGCTTTGATCTCGACCAAATACAATGTTGATTTTTTTTTGTTTGGTGCGGTTCGCTTTCACGCTGCCCTTTTTGCAAGTGAACCAGAAACTGTAAGCAAAACCACATGTGTGCTTAAGGTCATCCATTCATTGGTTCATCCATTCAACCGTACCAGAGTTCGTTTGGAAGCGGACTGAGACCACCTCTTCAGCTATGTCTCGGAACTTGAGTTCGATTCAATCGAACCAAACAAGACAGGTGTGAATACACCCTTAAAGACCTTTTTAAGACCTGCACAAATAAAATTAATTCCATATGCCCATTCCAAACAAACCCCCAAAACTCTTGGATTGTTTTACTTAATGAAAAAGGCTATGGCACACAACTGCAAGTTTAAATACTTAAGATATATTTTAGTCAATATATACACATGTACTGAAATTAGTTTATGTACTAACATAACAATACATGCAAATTAGAAGTTGAATGATGTTGGATTTTGCTTATATGATAATAATGTGTTAAAATAAAGGGCATAAAAAGATTATTTTGTCAATACTCATATGTTAGAGAATCGGACTACAGTGATCATGCTATATTGGTTCTTTTTGTGAATCAAGACGTGCAGCGCGACCAGTGTAGTCCGATTCCCAAACTAATGACTCTTAAGTCGGCTCTTTTAAAAAAAAATCTAAACATACAGTGGTCTGATAACAAAACGAACAAGTCTTATTAGTCAGTTCTTTTAGTGAATGACGATAGTGCGACCAATGTAGTCTAAATCCCGAATTAATGACACTTATGAGTCTGCAGTTTTTGGTGAATCAAAACAAACAGTACGACCAGTGTAGTTCACGTGATTCCAAATGAATGACTCTTAAGAACCAGTTTGTTTTAGTGAATCAAATTCATACAGTGAGTCCACTGTAATCAAACTGATTCCAGAATGGAAAAGTTTTGCAATCTGGGTTTTTTAGTGAATCAAACACATGCACCTTACTGTGTAATTTTGTAAGTAAGGATTGCCAGTCTTAAATCAGTGTAGTGCTGATATGATAACCATAATGCACATTATGGATAAACAGTAAAGACAGACATTATGAGTTTGTCAGCAGCATTTTATCAAATGTTAGTGTTCCTTTGTTCATTTTCCTACCCTGAATGAAGTTCAGGTCTGTGAGGAGTTTGAGCTCTCTGGAAACATCAAGCTGAAAGTGACGGAACGAAGGATCAGCAGAAAGAGAGAAACGCTGCACAGATTCAATTGATTGGGCCAGTCTGCCAGAAAGAGAGGTAATGTTTTCAGATTTTTTTTCTGTTTTCAGATTTCGAGAACAGACATAAGTATTATCCGCATATATGAAGGTGAGTTAGCCGTCCCACCTGTTGTGTGTTATTCTGGCTGCGTGCACAAAGCTCGATGGGTCATTTTCTTTGAGCAGCTCTTGAGTGAAAGCCATCAAGCCGGCGTGTTCCAGCAAGCTCCGTTTTTCAGCCACCTGATTGGCCAAAGCCTCTGCCCTTCTCTGCCGAGAGCTTTCCAAAGCCTGGGCCAGCATTGTCTGCCGCTCGGTTAGTAACACCATTATCTCCTTCACGCAGTGAGAGAGCTGCTCTTTGGCTGATACACTGTTCACCTGCATTCATGCACACAGACAACCGTTCAGCACATCAAATACCTGCTTTCCTTTTGTGACAAAGATGGAAAAGGTGGCCGTACCCCAGTTTGAGTGATGGCATTCTCCAGTTGTGTGATCTGAGTCATCACCATGTCCTGATTGGACAGGATGTAGTTCAGCTCCTTGGTGATCTTGTCCTAGAGTTTAAAAACATTTTTAACTTTAAATCAGGCATCTTTATTGAGAAGATTAATAATAGTAATGTTGTTGCCTTATTCAATATAGTTTGGCATAAATTCTACGAGTAGAAATGTCAGAAAAGTGAGTTTGATTCATGCATTGAAAATTGTTGTGATATGTTGCATTTGTATTTTCATAATATTTATTTTTAGCAGTAATAAAAATGTAGAAATAATATTATAGCCCATTTGTTATCAGATTTTTAAAAAGATTTCAAACATCATTGCGAATGAGAAGTATAATTTTTGCTCAATGGATCATTTAGTGACCTCTCGTATCCTTTGAATCATGGGAATACTGTCATCCTAAAGAAAATCCTGTCCTGTCAGAGTAAAAGTAGCTCACTACAGAAGGATCACCCACAATGGAGTTTGTTTACTGCTGATTTCCAGTTCATAAACCATAGATCTAAGACATGCGATGAATAGACTTACACATCACCACTAAACAAACTGAACACCAGCATAATGTTTGTGAGAGATAAACTCATCTGATCACATGACATTCCCTTATTGCTGTATTTTTTTTAAAGATGCTTTAAAACCCCACACAACTTTATTAACTGCATATGGTACTGCATCAGAACTGCCATTAGGTGGCGCTGTTGCTGCATTTTAAAGTGCTACTATTATGCCATTTTTAAGGTTCCTAATTTTGTTTTGGGAGTCTCTTACAATAGGTTTACTTGCATGCAAGGTCAAAAAATGCTTTCGTTTTCTCAAAATATGCATTTAATATCACCTAATTTTCCAACGATACTCAAACGATTCGTTCAAAGCCGTTCTAAAATTCAGCCTACTCTGCTCTGATGGGTCAGATGGCCCAGTCTGTTGTGATTGGTCTACCGCATACAGCGTATGTCATTAACAATACGCCCATTGCCATAGTTCCGTATTTTGAACGCTCGATAGAAAATATAAACATCCATTCCATTATTTCTCATACTTGCAGGCTGTGATTCAGTGGAGCCAGCTGGTCCAAATAAACAGGATACTGATCCATCTTTCAAGAGCAAGCGTTTTGTGAATCCCACGTTGAACTCCCCGAGATTAAAGAAGCAGTCATCAGTAAAATGACGGGAACACAAAAAAAGACTGGTGTTCTACTGCTGTGGTACAGTGGGAAAAAAATATTTTAACCACTGGTTCTTTGCAGCATCATCTTTCGGAAGTAAAAATATAACGAATTTACTGCAGCGTAGGACACAACATCTTCCCGACATGATGTTTACCACATGAATAAACCACAGTGTTTGAGGGTGGGTCAAGTTGTTCACTGCCTGACAACGTAAAACATCTGTGGGCATTATGCAAATGTGTTACCTCCTGACATGTAGCCGTCACGGAAGTGGGATTCGAATTACTGACGACTCGTTTAGGCTGTTCGATTCTTTCTTTTGGGAGACAATAACTTTGCAGATTGTTTACATTCACATACAGCTACATTACACACTGCATGAAAGGCAATATTCAAAATGGCATTATAGGGGCACTTTAAAAAATGTGAAAGCCCAGCAGTTTTTAACTACATTTGTTTATTTGCCCATACTTAGCTTCTAAAAATGTATTAAATCAATTTCTTTAAAAGAGAAAACCATGGCAACTTAAAATGACAGTCATGTACGCCAGGTACATCATTCAAATAGAGGTGAATTGAAAACATACCTTAAGAGTCTGGTAGGCTTGGGTGACGGGTGCAATCTTGTGACCCGCATGAATTCTACGCAGTTTACAGAGTGAACAAAGAAGCATCTGACATGACTTACAGTAAAACTGCAGCCTCTCCTGATCATGTTCTGGGCATGTCAACACCTAGAGAGACGGAAAGAAACTTTACGATGCTCTGTTGATAAAATTAAGTTGCATCTGCATATTTATTTTGTGAATATTCAGTTTCACTCAGAAATACAGCATATTATGGAAGTAAAAGGGATTGTGAATTCAGTTTTATGTAAAAAAAAAAAAAATGCATCAGACCCTGGACTTCAAGGTGTGAGAGGTAATTTGGTAGTAATCCTGGGCGCTCCAGGAGAAGCGGCTTACCTTTGGCCTGAAGTTGAGGGTGGGCTGAACATGTTCGTGCTGGGCGCGTGGAGTGCCCCAGGGGTGGTAGAGTTTGAAGCACTCATTACAGAAGCTGGCTCTGCAGTCAGCACAGCCTTTAGTGGCCTCCAGGGCCTGTGGGGGTTTACAGAACTGACACATCACAGCCACACTGCCCAAACTCACTGTGTGCCTGTACCTTCAGAAAGCAAGAGAGAAAGAGAGAGATCCTTCAGTGAAGCGTTTGTTTATTTGTCTGTATGTGTTTTTTTTCATGTAGACATAGTAACACGCTGGGTAAATTGTGTATTCAAGATTCTACTTAAGATTACTAGGTCACTAATCAAGTAAATAAGTATAAATCCTCAAAATATTTTTATATTATATTATAAATTAATTATAATTGAGTATTTAGGGTTATATTTAAGATTCCTAGGTCACTAATTAAACAAGAAAATAAGTATAAATCCTCAAAATATTATATTATATTATATTATATTATATTATATTATATTGTGTATTTAAGATTCTATTTAATGACTAGATTACTTGTTCAATTAAATTCAAACTTATCACATAAGTAAATAAGTATAAATGCTCAAATGATAATTATATTTCATTACAAAAATATAATATTGTGCATTTAAGTTTCTATTTAAGATCACTAATCGAATAACTTAAGTATAAATACTGAAAATATATGATATTGTTTCATTTTAAATATATAATATAATATATAATTTAGTGGTCGACCGATATATCGCCACGGTCGATATTTGGCATTTTTCAAATATCGGCATCTGCATCATTAACATCTAATTTCAAAAACCTTGCAAACTTAATCGAATCCAGCTGTGAGATCTTATGAAGTGTGCATTTGTATCCTGCGTGTACTCTGCATGACGGTTGGTCCATGCGAACTGAATACGGACAGGAGGAAAGTTCAGCTTCACTGGAGATGCACGATCGACAAACTTTAAACTCGTGATTTCAAAATATGCTGCGCTTCATGCTTTTGCCCACTGCCATATTCATGTCATTTTCACTGTGTGCTGTATGTAAAACGAGTGTTACCTTGACTTTATTTGAAAAAATGTGATTCCCAATGCGTACAAACTTCCCAGAATACTGAGTGCCCTGTTGGTTACAGTGTTTACTTCCTTTTTAATTATATTGTATTAAATATTTGTTTATTTGTGGAAAAATACTTTGTCATTTAAAATATAAGCATGTTTATTTTACACATTTGTTTTTTAACCCATTTTCAAATTATTTCATATTTAAGATTTCATTCTTAAATATTAAATTAAATAAATAAAATTATATTGGCTTTATATCGGCCACCCTGCTTTCCAAGATTACGGCATTGGGTGTCAAAAAACCAATATCGGTCGACCACTAATATAATTTCAATGTACTTGAATGTGTGTATTTATTACCTTTCCACAATTCTCTCCAGTGTAAGGTTCCTCATGCACTCAGCCAATCCTCTCTCACCTAGTTCCACATCTCGTCCACAGGGGGCGCAATGAAAAAGCATGACAAGTGGAGGGCCTTCCTTTCGCCTGCGGCCTGGGTATGTCCCAGAACCTAAACATACACACACAATCAGATAAACTAAATATATATCAACCTGTTTATATGACTTTGAAGATGGTGCATACTCTTTCTTGTCTGTACACACCTGAGCGCAACAGGCGGTCCACGCGGTCAGACTTGGGCATGGGCCTGCGCATCTGCCGTGGGGACCGCATGTTGGGGGTAGAAGCGGGCGAGTTGGGCTCCGGGGGGAGCTCGGGCTGGGGATACCCGCTCTGAACCAGCACCTCGGAGGCACACATGAGACACACGCTGTGCAGGCAGGGAAGTACAATGGGCTGCTTCACAATGTCCTTGCACACAGGACACAGCAATTCCTGCTCCATACTCTTCATATTGGACTGGAAAAAATGAATGGAGGGTGAAAAGAACGAAGAGAAGAAGAAAGCTCTTACAAATATTGACTACAGTAAAATACCATTATAAAAGCACAGCATAGGCTACAGTTATATTATGAGAGTTTATTATCAGATAAAAATATATTTAAAAATGAATTACGTACATTGCTGTTCAAAAGTAATATTTGTTTTGTTTTTGAAAGCCATTTCTTATTCTCACCCAGGCTGCGTCAAAAATTTTATCAAAAATACAGTAAAAACAGTAATATTGTGAAATATTATTACATTTTAAAATAAGTTTTAATATATTCATATTTTATATTGTATGTAAAAGTCTTGTCAATGTTGGTCGTATACTTTTTTTAATTAAAAAAAAAACTTACTGACCCCAAACTTTTGAATGGTATTGTATGTCCATAAATTAATTTCATTGTAATGGTGCAATTAGACATCTTAAATCAGACTTTAATTAATAATTTGTGGAGAACAAAACATATTGTAACAATCACAACATAACTTATCCAAGTACCACATGTTCCCAGATCAACATCCTTAACCCCTCATAACCCTGAATGTACCTCTAAAATCAGAAATGCTATTCCAGGGCCTAAACTCAACCCTAACCCTAAAATCAATATATTTGATAAGGGTTAATCACATAAACCCTTCTAAGAACTTTTTTTTTAATTACAATTTACACATTTTGCTACATGTTTGCAGCTTAGCAAATAAGCTATGCATTGTATCAGTATGGCATCCCCTGGTCTTAGTGTTACTATAGCATCAAGCACTACCAGCTGAACTGAACATTCAGAGAATGCCACAGCCAGATAATCCCTAAATTTAACTCCTTAAAGTCCCCATGAAATCAAAATAAGTTTTTTGGGTGTTAGTATCAATGTTAGTCTTAAGGTTATCTATTGGGCAGTGTGCTCCAAAACAGTGACAAAATTCGCATTGAGAAGATATAAGCATTCAAACTTGCAGTTAGTCACTTCTGCCAAAACGGCTCAACTATTTTTTTGACGTCACATCGTACTTCAGCGTCTCATCAAACTTTCTGTCCAATCAAATGCTCTCTAGAATCCGAAGCGCCCCCCCCTTACACTATAAAATAGACGCTGAAGCCGCGGCTGAAATCGGTCACTTGTCCACAGAATTAGTATTTTCTGTACACTGAATGGCACGTAGTGCACTATATAGGGGACAGGGAATGATTCAAACAGTGTAAATATGCTTTCCATTGAGGAAAAAAAGAAGTCTGGTTTTGCGCTGTGTCACACTAACCACCGCACCACACACACACTCTGCTCCGGTCCAGAGACACGATAGCACGAAGCGGATCACATGCGCGAATCGGCGCAGACCACATAATGTATCAGAGCTATTTGAATTCTACACAGAATGCTATATTTTATAGCAATATGGATGAGATTGTGGCTGGCATACCCTGTCAAATGTGGCTTTAAGGAACTCAACGGCTCTAGCCCAAGCTGTGATACAAACTAACGCTATTGGCTATTTTAAAAATGGGCGGGGCTGCTTGATATGTCCCGCCCTGTCTTCCTGTTTCAGTTAAAATGACGTCAACACATAGAGTAACGCTGCGCGTTTCTAAGCAGTTCAGAGGACCTTTAAAGGCACAATATGTCATTTTCGCCGCTAGAGGGCACGTATTCAAAATAAACAAAGAATCAAAGGCGTAGTTTGATGACGCCGTGACTGAGTGTGGAATCATGGGAGCTGTCGTCTTCATCCCCACAGCCGATGCAATCTGACGGGACTCGGGCAGAAATCATGTTCATGGAAGAGCTAATGATTTATTAACATAGTAGAATGAAGCAGGGTGAGGCTGAAAGCCGTCGAAGCGAAACGAGGCCGCTGAACGAGTGTGACACACGGCTCGAAAGCAGCAGAGCTTTTATTATGTCACAGTCGACTGCTTCCGCTCCTTCCGGTCGTGCGTATGTGGGGTAAAGCAGCGCTGTTTTATCATACTAGATACATTTGAAAGTTCTGTTATAATGCTACTCTGTGCGATCGTCACCGGTCTAATAAAACGCACAACATATTAATTCGTCTTTGGTGTTTCCATGTTTTCTCTAGGAAATTTAGGGTGTATGACGTCAAACACAATGACACTATGGACACGCTCCGTGTCACTAGTTAAAATAGCTTATTTCTCTGGATTTAAACATTCTTTGAAACATTTGGGATAATGTAAGTACACAAGTCAGCAAAATATATATCACTGTTCTAGTGGTTTTTGGATATTTTAATAAAAAAAATCTTACATATTGTGCCTTTAAGTCATATTTGGAACAGAACATTTGGGCTCTATGAAGAATTATGATGACTCTGTTGCACACCGATTTAAATAAAGAGGAAAAAGAGACTAGATTTTCATGCTGCCTGGTTGCTAAGAGAGACATGCACACCTTTATAAATAGCTGTCTCTGGTGCACTGCTACTGGCCTGCAATGCTCTTTAAAAATGGATGGTGTGCTGATGTTCATGATTTAAGCAGACAGCTGGGTGACACTGGAAGCTCTGGAAAGGCCACATCAGCTTAAGAATGACCTTGTCCTTCAGACTAGCATGGTAGAGACATATTTGTGATGACTGTTTGAAGACTGACTGAGCAACAGCACCACAAATGAATCTGACACCTGTTTTTAAAAGTTTTTTTTTTCCAAACATGCATGAACAGTTTTCATCTCCACAAAAACATACAGTATGCACAAATAAAACTTTAAAAAATGAGTTTAGTAACTTTGACCTCTAGAAACCACTGTGACAAAGAAATTCTATAATTAATTGAATCTGAAAACCATTTCCCATGCAAATAAAATAGGCTGGTTTAGCCTGGTTATAATTATTATTACGCTAGTTATTAGTTAACCACTGGCCTGTCCCATTCAATGGCAATGTCATTGTAAAATCTAACCTATATATTTTCGTTAGACAAGAATTTTTGCTGATGTTCATGATTTAAGCAGACAGCTGGGTGACACTGGAAGCTCTGGAAAGGCCACATCAGCTTAAGAATGACCTTGTCCATCAGACTAGCATGGTAGAGACATATTTGTGATGACTGTTTGAAGACTGACTGAGCAACAGCACCACAAATGAATCTGACACCTGTTTTTTAAAGTTTTTTTTTTTTCCAAACATGCATGAACAGTTTTCATCTCCACAAAAACATACAGTACGCACAAATAAAACTTTAAAAAATGAGTTTAGTAACTTTGACCTCTAGAAACCACTGTGACAAAGAAATTCTATAATTAATTGAATCTGAAAACCATTTCCCATGCAAATAAAATAGGTTGGTTTAGCCTGGTTATAATAATTATTACGCTAGTTATTAGTTAACCACTGGCCTGTCCCATTCAATGGCAATGTCATTGTAAAATCTAACCTATATATTTTCGTTAGACAAGAATTTTCTATTTTAATCTTACTCTAAAAATCAAAACGCATGCTTTAGGAATGCCTACAGCAGCTTAAATGCACGCTTGGGCTTCTTTATCGTCGCGCGGTCATTCAGCAATGTCAACTGGCATCCCATGTCACCCCATCCCGCGGAACCAAAGTTTAACGTGATTTTACTACAAAATAAACGCGACTGAGGTTTGACCTACAGACATGACCGTATAACCGGTTAGCACGGCTCGTGCTGTATTCGGCAGCGCCCTTACCTTCACCTGAAATCTGGGCGCCATTACGGGATGCTGCTGTCTTTACTTCGCATGACAGCACTGCTGTCGCAAATCACTGCGACTTACCGAGATACACATTTTTAATTGCAATGAATGTAAAGCCTACTTACAGGTTCCAGCCAGCTTAATAAATTAAATTAATAAAACACCGCATGCTGAAGAAGCTTCACACTGCCACATGCACGATGCGGATTAAATGCATTCTCTATTTTTCTTGCAAAACATACCGTTAATGTTCCGTTTCGTCGCAGTAGATCATTAGGCTATATGTCAATGGGGAAATCTTCCGTTGGCAGCCATTGCCTCTTTCAGGTTGAAATGTAGGTTAGTAGGATGTCGCTACATCCGCACGCAGCTGGAGATGCTTTCAAACCGACGCTCTCCGTCTCCTGCCCGCATCCCGTTTCCGTGGTAACCAGCACGTCCGCTTCATCAGCAGCACGCTGCTAGTTAATGCACACGATTACTGCGACTGCCTCGGCAGCCAAATCACAACAGAGCTGTTGGATTTAACTATGTATTTTTAGGCAAACTGACAGTCTTATCCAATAATTGTAGAACAAAAACATTTTAAAAAGTAAACCTGTGCAGATGTTACCTGAAGACATTGTTTCTTTTGAAGCTTCGAAATATTTACGAGTCTTTCGTTTCGAATCAGTGATCGGAGGCTTCGTTACGTCATACTGTTTCGAATCTTGGTTTCGAAATTTCAAAATTCCAATGGTTCGCCGCCAAATGGCTTTGATCTGGTGAACCCGTGAACGAGTGTCCAGTGTTTCGGTCAGTTTTATAATGTAGGTTCATTTTTAAATATGAATGAATTTTAATACGTAGGTCTATGCGTGTATAATAAAGCAGAATGATATTTGCTTCTAATTGACCTAGTTTATCAATCCTTGTCTAAGAAGACACAAATCAGGCCTTGTACATTAATTGAAGAACATGAATTTTACAAAGCCTTCATATTTAATGGAATGGAATGATTTGTAGATTGCATTTAATAGATTACACTTTCATGAAAACATGTGCAATTGCTTTGTATAATGTGTCATTATACATGTTTCGGCTGAGTTTTCGTGGCACTTAAAGCTTTTGACCAGCAGATGCCGCCAACATGTTGTGTTTCGAGCGCTTCGAAATAGTGAATCATTCTGCGAAGCAATTGATTCAGAGTTTCGAAAAGCTTAATTTCTCTCATCACTCTCGGAAGGTGACCTGGCAGGGCTTAAGAAACACAAAAATCAAATAAAAACATGTAATTTGATTTAATGTCATAGGCTAATCTTTAAATGATTCATATGTATTCGTTGTGATACAGTACAGCATTTATTTGAAATAGAAATCTTTTGTAACATTAATGTCTTTACTGTTATTTTAATGCCTCCTTGATGAATAAAGTTTTTTTTAAAAACCTTAATTATACCAAACTTTTGTACTGTAGTGTATCACAGTTTTCCTCAAATTAAAAATCAGCAAAAACTGTTTTCAACATTGATAATAATAAGAAATGTTTCGTGAGCACCAAATCAGCATATTAGGATGATTTCTGAAGGATCACTGAAGACTGGAGTAATGATGCTGAAAACTCAGCTTTACCACCACAGGAAGAAATTCTATTTAAAATGTATTTTAATTTCAATGCAGCCTTGCTGAATATAAGAGACTTCTTTCAAAAACATTTTTAAAAATCCTAATTATTCCAAACGTTTGACTGCTAGTGTATATATATTATACAATTTCTGGCGTTTCATCTACTAACATTACTGTGCCCCGTTGAGTCATGCGATCTATATAGAACACACAAAGTCTGTTTAACTCGAACACTTAGGTATGCTGTGCTCTAATCAATGTATTGCTCAACTTCCCCTGATAAGACCTTCTCCTGCCCATGGGCTCGGTCATATAAAGTCTTGAGGGAGATAACCAGCATTTCTCAAAATCTTCACTCAGGCACACAAACGGTAAGCTCTTCATTCTGCTGTTTTTTTGTTTGTTTTTTAAGCTTAGAAATGCATTGACAAGATCAGGGTTAATATAAGATTCATATCAGCTTTCTACAGTGGCTGGACCCAGACAGTGAGCAGCCATGCCATCTGAACTAGAGACCGCCATGGAGTCCCTCATCATGGTATTCCACCGCTACGCTGGAAAAGAGGGCAAGAGCGGCACCCTGACCCGCCGTGAACTCCGAACCCTGATGGAGAACGAGCTCTCTGGGTTTCTCAAGGTGAAAAACTTCTGTCATTCTCTCATAAATACTATAATTCTGGCCTCGTCTCTTTCATTTTCCAAAGGAAATCCAGACCAGATATAAGTTTTTCTCTCGTTTATCAAACATTTTATTCTCTTTTCCCACAGTCTCAGAAGGATCCGACTACCATAGACAGAATTATGAAGGACTTGGATGCCAATGGAGATGGGGAGGTGAACTTTGAGGAGTTTGTGTCTTTGGTTGTGGGTTTGTCCATCGCCTGTGAAGCGTGCTACAGGATGCAGTTAAAGAAGACACAAAGCTGGAAATGAAGAGGAAAATGATCCATACAGACAAGCTGTAAAGTTAATCATGTTGTCTGTTAAAATGTCAGATTTTTTTTTCTTCCTTTGAGTATGTGTTTGTGTGTAGATCAGTATCGGATGAAAACCATAAAAACTACTTTCGCTGCCAGGTTAAAGTACAGGTGTGTATGACAGGTCTTAACGCTCTTTGGCCTAGACAGTATTCTTTGAGCTTTAAACCCGTCTGTGTTAAAAGCAAACTATGTTCTTGTTTAAAATAAAGCTTTAAAATATTCAAAAGTCTTCATGTGCAGAACTTTATATTTAAAATACATGTCTATTCAGGTATGCGAAGAATGTGTTTTTTTGTACTCTCTCTCTTTATCTCGTTTTCACAATACATTTACTAGGGTGTGTCCCACGTTGGTAATGGTTACAGTGCAAACCCAAGGCTGCTCGGCTGGAAATGGAGTTCTGGAAGTTAGAACTCAATAAGCCTTAGTTGGAGTAGTGCCATAGTTCATTTTTTGACAGGAATGATAACGAGGACGTAAGGGACTAAAGTACAGTGCATTTAATGGATTGTACTGTTGTTTAAAAACTGACGAAACGTAAACAAAAACACCATGTGAGTTGTGAAAATTACACAATGAACATGTCACATAATGAAAAAGAGGGTAATACTTGCATACATTATTCCTTAATACACTCTAAAAAATGCTGGGTTAAATCCAACCCAGTGCTGGGTAAAATAGGGACAAACCCAGCAATTGGGCTGTTTTGACCCAGCGGTTGGGTTAAATGTTTAACCCAACCTTCTGGGTAGTAACCCAACCGCTGAGTCAAAATAACCCAATTGCTGGGTTTGTCCCTATTTTACCCAGCACTGGGTTGGATTTAACCCAGCATTTTTTAGAGTGTAATATGTATATCCAGTCCATTTTCTGCAGGTTGCAGACATTTTGGGGAGTCATAATTTCATATTAAATGAATAAAAATATTCACTAAAAAAGTTTTTTTTTCTTTAGTTACAGTACATGTCATTAGTCACAGCAAGTAACGCTCCAGAAACTATTTCTTGCTTATGTTTAAAGAAACCTGTAATTTTGTGGCTTCCTCATGGTCATATAATTTTCTGTATTATAATTCAGTGTAGCATTTTAGTATTCATAATATTTACATTTACATTTAGTCATTTAGCAGACGCTTTTATCCAAAGCGACTTACAAATGAGGACAATAAAAGCAGTCAAAACTAACAAAAGAGCAACAATATATAAGTGCAAATGACAAGTCTTGGTTAGCCTAACGCAGTACACGTAGCAAGGTGTATATATATATATATATATATATTATACACACACACACAAACAAAGAAAACAAGTAGAATAGACCAAATAGAAAGCTAGTGTTTGTTTTTTGTTGTTTTTTAAAATAAAAAAATAAAAAATAAAAAAAGATAAATATAGATGAAGTCGAATTAAAATAGAATAGAAAGTGTTAGAGTTAGAGGGTCAAATAAAGGTAATAATAATAATATATAATATTACATAATATGTACTATTAAAACTATTAATATTAATGCTACTACTATAATAGCAATAAAGACAAATAAAAGGAATCAAAAATGAATCCACTGGCACAAGACAAATATGCATGATATGCATGAGCAGATCTTTTGACCACAGCACATTGCCAAGTAACCAAGTCATCACAGTCTTGCTGACTTACACAGGGCTTTGCCAGTGTTGCTCAATTTCAGTCAGTTAGCCACCTTGTTTGCACTGCTAAAAATACAAATAGGCGAGCAAACCATCCCGTCAGCAAATCAAATAATCCCTACTGCAAAATTGTTTCGTACGTTTCCTCGTATGCCACAAGAGGGCAGAAAAGACCCGCACAAGAACCGTAGCACACACTATGCGTGCTTCTCAAACGGAAGGCTGCGTCCTTCCTAGCTCAGTCCTTCAGAGGCTTGTAGGCTAGAGTCCTCCTCGGCATTAAACGCTAGAATGAGACAGTCTAATAAGTGTGCGTGGCTACGTCACATATGTCCCCGCCCTCACCGCCACGGCACGAAAATACTAATAAAACTTAGTTTTGGAAAAATACTTTGTATTACAAATCATCATATTATTTGGCTTTCTATTAATGCAATACAATGAATCGCAGCCGTCTAGTCTCCCGGTGGCTTACATTATTGGCAGTTTAGCGTTTAGTGAGTAATTTACACCAAAACAAAAAATAACATCTATACTTTCATGTCTGGAAACATTATTTGTGTCTTACATTTCATCATAAATTCAGACAAGCTCAGTACTGAATCGTTTTTCGTCCGTTTGTTTTCATGAAATGGAATGGGTACAAAGGATTGTGAGTGATTGAAAGTCGCGGAGGATACATCCCATGCATCCTTCAAATTCAGCTGAATGAAGGAAGCGAAACGAAGGATGCCTTCCAAGGATCCTTGCGATTGAGATGGATATATGAGATCGATATATGCAGCCTTCCGTTTGAGAAACACCCATTGACATACATACACTATGCAGACATACAGGTGCATCTCAATAAATTAGAATGTCGTGGAAAATTAATTTATTTCAGTAATTCAACTCAAATTGTGAAACTCGTGTATTAAATAAATTCAATGCACACAGACTGAAGTAGTTTAAGTCTTTGGTTCTTTTAATTGTGATGATTTTGGCTCACATTTAACAAAAACTCACCAATTCACTATCTCAACTAATTAGAATACTTCATAAGACCAATAAAAAAAAAAATTTTTAGTGAATTGTTGGCCTTCTGGAAAGTATGTTCATTTACTGTACATGTACTCAATACTTGGTAGAGGCTCCTTTTGCTTTAATTAC